ATTCATTTCAATTTGCAGCGTAATTGTTTCTACCGTTTCCAGTGGTGTGATCTGACGAAGGCCCCGTATTTGAAGACGAAGTACTTCCTCTTTGGCGTGTCCAGTCAAATACGTCTGAGGAAGACTGACTCCATCCATAACACAATCCATAGTCAAAGTTACAAGATGCTTGGACAGACGGCGAGGTCCAGGGCACGGACGTTGTTTGTGCTGTTGGTAGAGAGAATTCGCTTATTTTATTATTTTTTTTAAATAATCACAGCTTTGAGATTCAGGTGGTAGCTGCGCACTGTACGCTAACACACAAACTAACAAACAAACAAACAAACTCCAATCATAACTTATGTTTTTTTTCCTCAACTCTATTACTTATGAATCGCCCACGATATGTAATCAGTTTTCTAAAGGATTCATATTAGGACGTTCTCCCACATTATCAGCTCCCTTACTAAGCGAAATGCATATGATTATTGACTATTGAATATTGTCACGTCCAACATACCTCCAGAGCATATCACCGATGCATCTTCACTGTGGACGCAGTTATGAGAGCCCCAACCTCTGTGCCGACAATAGATTATGGAACTTTCACTTCCCGAACATGCAACATCGTCTAGCCAGATTTGACCACTCCCGGGCCCGAATCGGGCATTCGTTGGGGCACTAACCGCACCAGGAAATCCAAGCTGGCGACAAACGACTCGTGCGTCATTTATATCCCAGGAGTCATCACAAACAGTTCCCCAGATGTTATTGTGATATACTTCAACTCTTCCTTCCCAGCTTCCAGATCCTCCAACAAGTCTCAGACCTAGGGTACAAGAAAATAAGGGTAAGTGAAATGTGAAATGTATTTCCAGTGTGTGTGTGTTTTTTTTTTCTTTGAGTTGTGGATTACGCATAGCGCAAGGAACGAGTTAAGGTTGATTTCCACTGACAAGTTTTTGTCTACGCGCTAACCGCTCGTAAATTTTAATCACGTTAATAAAATAGAGGCAAGATATAAAATGTTGAGATTAAACGTCAAGTTGAGCGAGGTTCAACTTTTACGCTAACGAGCATGCATTGCCTCTATCTTATTTGCGAACGTAAACTTTATGCATGTACGCACGTAAAAATTACGCGACAGTGGAAATCAACCCTTATTGTCGGTACCGCAAAATGCAAATGTGTCACTCGGGTTTAGACGGCTTTCATAATTTGTCAGCTCGCACGATAACGCCCGATATCAAAACAACAACTTTCGTAGATCGATCGTTCCCGTTCCGTAATCAGGAATTTTGATGTTATGATTTTGTGCTATAGCTTCACAGGACGATAAGTTGGCTTCATGTGGACTTTGAATGTTTGAAATTAGCACTATGCCCAACTTTAAGACAAAAGTTTTATGAATTTTTGAGGCTCTCTGACTCATGCAGGCGATAAACATGACGAAGAGATCAGCAATTTCTCTTCGCCTTCCCAAGCTGGTCCAAGCTGACGATTCTGTTATGAGTCTCACGATTTTTTTAACTTTGCATCTCAGTCGTCATACAAGTCGGAAGCCCTCTCTTTTACCGTCGTGCTTAGCTTGCTGTTTTGTTGAATAAGTTGCGCCATAACGTCGTTGGGTGTGCGCTGGATTTCTTCCGGGTTTATAGCTAGTTTGAGCCAAGTCTCTGCTTTCAATCGTTTTCGTTCTTTACCGTTTGTGGTGGCTTGTGTTTTTTTGGCAGAAGCGTCTGATGCTTGCGGCTACTGCATTTCCAATACGGTCCCGGGATAAATCAAAAAGCTGGTATCCTAACGGTAGAATGCTTCGTTGGATCAAATCAAACGCCATCATCGGGTCACCATAAACTTGACGCGATTCCCGGACTGCTTCTCCGTTAATTTGTGTAGAGAACACTGGATCTTTTTTATCCATAAAAGGAGGGACCATGTGGATTAGCAGGGGAATGATCGGGTTGTCTATGAGCCTTGAAAAAAGCTCTCGATCGTTGACGTTATCGTCGATTTTAGCGTTGCCCATTACGCGATCTGGCTGGCAGTTCGCATGAGTCAGATGTTGCACTGTATTGGCTTTGAAATTGGCGGTAATTGTGAACTATTTTACAACAGAGAGGTTTTCTTGAATGTGCATTGTATTAGTCTTGACAACGATTGTTATTAACTCTTGGGCCTAAGACAATAGCTCGCTTGCTCGAGACGCGCCATTTTCGAACACAACTTCTACCAGAAGTGTTCAAAGTGAAAGGGATAGTGGTTCTACTCAACCGATTTTCAAAATTAAAACGGATTCTGTTCGAGAAAAGGTCCATCTTTCATCACAGTTTTACTTTTGTGTTAACATTTCGTTTACATTCAGTGTCGTCGTCCTCGACCGATCGACTGCATCTTAAGTTTCCTTTTTCTCGCCGAAACTGACGTTCTCGTCCCAGTCTTTCCCCAGTCAACAGACGCCGTCGTCTTGAACTTCGTCGTGGTTCTTAAGTTCCCTAAAAATCCGTTGATCTCACTCTATCGCCAGTGGCCTGGGTTACGTTTTTACCGACTTACATTATGCGGTTCACTTATTGCAAGTTCATTTTAAGCTTTTATTTCTAAAATAATTAATCCACTAGTTGGCCATGGGCACCCTTTGATTCTTTTAGATTCTGCCTCAGCCTTTCTGCAAAGGCGAAGGGTGCAAGACGCTTAGACCAGTTTTAAATGTGTTTGACCATAGTTTAGGGGGAGACTGTTAGGAAACCCGGTAAAGATCAAAGTTGAAAACAATGGTGCTGTAGGTTATATTGAAAACTCCCTGACCGTGCACAATCCTTTGTTTTCTGTCCACAAATCAAGACTGAATAAATTAATGCAATATTTCGATTAGTCAAAAACTTCAAAATGATAGGAAGGCTATTGAACGTTTTGCACGGTCAGGTCCAAAAAAGCTAACAAAAAACCTATAAAAAAGGGTTTCCCGACCATTCCACTTTAATTACTTCGGCGGAGCGCGAAGTAAAGGATTCGCGACGCTCAGGAATGTATCAAAGTTGCAATTTTTTGACAAGATTGGGCAAGCAAAGTCTGTAGGTTTTCGGCTCTATTCGGCTATTTGACGAAGTGAGAGCCGAATTAGTTCGAGATATCTCGAGATCACTTCGATTTCTTTGATTTATTCTTAAACTTTTTCGAGGAAGAAAGAATTATTATTGTGGCCTTCCCGGGGTTTGAACCGACTCACCTGTGTGACCCGTCAGATCAGAGGAGACTCTAAGTTGAGCGATTAGCCGATTGCACTACTGCGACCCAAGGTAGTTTGGCATATGAAAAATAGTTATGAAATGATGCATTAGTTTCGGGGCAAGATTGGGCGTGCAAGTTCGTGACTTTTCAGCTTGTTTCAACTATTTCACGAAATGAGATCGGACTGCTTCGTGATATCTTGAGATCACTTCGAGTTTAGTCTTTAATTACTTGAGGAATAAATAGAGGATATTTCGTGGCCGCGCAGAGACATGAAATTTCTCTTCGAGTGTTGAAAAACGTTTCACGCGTGAGCCCTCCTTTCGAACTGTTTTATGATGAATTTAAAGTTACAAAATGCTGCACAAAGACGTTTTGTCTTTGTTGAGTGTTACGTAGTAAAATTGCTTTCATGCGTTGCGTGACTTTCTTTGGATTAGCCATGAATAATTAATTAGGGCATGTTTACATTTCAGCATGAGTCAGCAGATTTGGATCAGTTACTGAAATCATAAAATATGTCGAAAAGCTACTACTATTCGCCTGTTAAGTATTTTCTAGAACCTTATGTCAAACGGTATACAAGTTCCAAGCGAGTTCTTTTGACGAACTAAGTTTTTTCTCACGAGCTGGACTGCTGTGTTTAGTCAAGTGTGACGAAGGTCGATTATTCAGGTTCTGTGTTTACAAGTTCGCGGAAGCCGTAAGATATCTGAAGTTCAAGTGAGAGTTTGTTATTATTGGTAGAGGCTGTTTAGTTTTACTCAAAGTTCAAGTCAAGTTTGTGTTGGCGGATGCTGTGTTTTAAAGCTCTGTAAAGGCTATGTTCCTTTGCTGTTAAACTTCCTTGTGTTAATCCGACATCCCTGCGTGCTGATAGTCAGTGAATAATTATCCTCAAAACATTCGAACTCGTGACTTTGAGTTTTAGCCAATGCCATGTCAACGTAATTGACTTCTTACCCATGCCTTACATATCTTTAATCAGTACATGAGACTGCTATGCTGTTTTTGAAGCCTGATGTGACTAAAAAAAATAGAGAATTGTTTTTTAGAAGGATTTGTATGGAGTCATCAGAGCATAACTGGGCTAATATCGCGGAGACAATTTGTCCTGAAATGGTAGTTTTTGGCAAGTAGGCCTCTTGGATGTTGCTCTTTGCAGAATATCCTGACAAATCCCATAATTTCACACCTTACTCTTACCATATTTGATTTCTTACTATTCCTCCGCATTTACAATTAATTAGTTCCACAACCACGACGCCGAAGTGTACGCTAGCTCCGTAGCGTCTTGTTAACTATGGTTTGACAGAAATAATCAACCCTATTTCGTTTGCACTTAAGGTATGTTGATTTTTCTCCTATCTTACTTAAGCCATTTAATACTTGAATTTGACGAACTGTAAACTTGTGTTTGTTCAGTGGAGACCGTTAATCTTAATTTGTACACCGCCCAGATGTAAATAAATAAATAAAGTTGTTGTTGTTTGTTGTTGTTTGTTTAATTTTGCCTGTTCGATGCTCGCACAACGAGAAGAACACAAGTTGGCCTTGAGTTGATTGGGGAGAGTGATTGACAGAGAGAGATCTGAGGACTACCATTACAGAGGACCATTACCAGCGTTTTTGGCTGTATGTTTCAAAAGACCTTAAAGTATAATGACTTGAGAATTAGTAAATATTATTATTACTATTATTATTACATGTATTATTATTGTCATTATTATTATTCACGTTCCCCTCCAGACTATACCTGAGGCGCCAGGTGGAGGTGGAGAAGCGGTAACAAATCCATTCATTTTGTTGATTATCCAGGATTTTAAGTTACGAATGTTTGCGTACACGGTTGGCTTTAAAGGGGCGGCACAAGGAAGGCCCCCCCAGCTCGTGGCTCCTTCAAGATACCATTTACCATTAAATTCGCACACAAGCGGCCCTCCGCTATCGCCATTGCAGGCACCCTGACCTCCCTGGGCTTTCCCAATGCATATCATGGAATCGTCTATGCTTCCAGGGTAATAACTGAGACAGCGTTGCTTGGATACAAGTGGTAAATCAACCTGCATGAGTGCGTTTGGTTGTGGTCCTAAGTAGTAAAGTCTTCCCCAGCCAGTGATCCAACAGGGCTTGTTAGAATTATCAAATGGAAGCTGAAAGTTTGGATCTGAGAGACAAACTAGGCCAACTCCTTTTCCAAGCACAGCTGGTCTTGATAACCTAAGCAAGGCAATATCGTTGCTATATTGATTCGGAGAGTTATAGTTTTCGTGCAGAATTATATTTATAACGTCAAAGTCTTGTTCTGTTCCAACGGAAGACCACAATCTGTAATGTGCTCCCAATCTAGATAAACAAACAAAAACAAAAAAAGAAAAATGATGGAAAATAATAATTAATAATAATAATAATTAATAATAATAATGATAACAATAATAATTTAAAAAAACTATTAAAATCCTATTTACAATTAATTCGCTTAAAAAAAAGAAAAAACTATTCATTCAAAAACACTATTTACAATTTCTGTCGATTTAAAAAGCACTTAATTTAGCTTTAAAAAAAAAGTTAATAAAACTAAGAAAAAATTTAATAATAATAATAATAATTATAATAATTATAATAATAATAATAATAACAATAATAACGAACCGGTTACAGCATCCCATTGCTTAACAACACCTACTTTTTTGTTCGTGCATCATCCTCTAGAATGAGAAGTGTTGCTAAATATCGACAGCGGTAAAGGCGGGAAGTAAATTATTTCAGCAGAATTACTGGTCTTACATGGCACACTAAATCACTGCGATGAACTGCCTTCTCGTCAAATCCCACGTAGGGTAGTGTAGGAGCTGCTCGTACGGTCTCTCCTAATTGGTCGCAGGAACCATGACGTGTCATTCTTTTAATTGTTTTGGTATTGTTTGGGGTTAGGGTGAGGCACCATTTGCGACTTGTCTTGCGAGCAGCTGCTACATGACGCCCCACGAATCCAAATCTTGCCAAAGCTTCCAAAAAAATATCATTTGGACTTAGTTTAAGTTCAGTAGTTAATACATGCAAAATTAAATGTAAAATATTGGCTGAGAGGTAACCGAAGAGTTATGAATGAATACTTAACAAATTTGGGCCAGTCCGGTGATCTAGATCGTTGTTTACCTCTATTACCTGCGCATTTCAGTATTCTTTAGCCTTGTTGGGATAACACGAAAGGTGAATGAACTCTGCATATATATGTTTAGTATACACTAAAACAGTGTTTTTCGCTCGCTCTGATTGGCTACTCAATCAGTGAATATCCTGCACTATTCACTGATTCACCTCCAGTTCCTCCGAGCGAGCGACGCCAAACTCGCGTAAGTTGCGAGCAAAATGCCTTCCTGGTTTGCTGCCGTAAACAAACAAAGAAATTTCACAACTAATCAAGCAAGCTGTCTCCGAAATACACGAAGAAGGTGACGAAGTTCGGATTGGAAGTTTTAACAGGTTAAACTTTGTCTTTTTGACACGAATTTATCGATAAAACCGGCGAAAAAGTTTTTTGTTTACAAATGCAAAGTCTTGCGTTACTTTATTTAGTTGCGCTGTTCATAAATAAGCTCAAAACTAAATTTAATAATCTTTTTTTATAGAATGATTTTAAATACAAAAAGAATTCACAACTCCCTTTGAAGAAATTTCGCCGCAAGAGCTAAAAAAATGCCTTCAAAAGTTTTAATTGTCGGCAAGAAAAAGCGACGGCCGCGGCCGCCCGGTCATTACGCGGCCAAATTGTAATCTTTGGAAACAGTGTTTGAGTTAAAAATCATCATTTTTGTGCTCAATTATCTCACTGTTTTAGTATATACTAAAACAATTATTCACCTCAGTGTTGGTGGCTAGTCGTGGAATTATTTACCGAACTGCGAATACTTACGACTAGCCACCTCCACTTCGGTGAATAATTGTTATATATATATGCAGAGTTCATTCACCTTTCGTGTTATCCCACGTTTGAATGCAAACGAGACCTAGATGATTTTTATGGATTTGTTCTTTTCATTTAATCCTACAATTTAATGACTATTCTCAAATGGGATTCGATTAAAGATAGGAATGTCCCTTCCAGGCTACCAAATTGTTAATAAAGAAGAACTGGGTATTGATTGATTATACTTCTTTGTAGTAGTAGGCCACGCCATAAAGTCCTGTCCTAGCTTTTTTTGTGGACGGTACATACCAGTAACCTCCCCCCAACCCTCCTTCCCAGTTTATATATCATCTTGTAGTGAAAGCACATTTAGAGTTGCACTTCCAATTCCAATGTACTGGTTTTGCACTTGATCGTAAAGCCGTGTATAGTTAGACTTCTTACTCTTACCTCACTTTAACATCTGACAGAGCCCTGCTTCTTACACAGTGAGTTGCTGTTAAAACCCATTGAGGATGGATTAAGGATCCTCCACAGAATTGACTACCGCTGCTTGATAGTAGCATTGCCTGCCAGGGCCAGCCATTTACAGGTGCCTCGGACCCGTTAACAATCCTTGCAGTATAGACACTGGGCCTTATACCGCATGTTACTGTAATGATAATATAATTACTCGATGAATAACATATTTTCCTTAACAAACAACAACAAAAAATACGAATGTTGCAAGTGAGGATAAATTTCTGTGTTTGCTCAAGACGTCTTCTACAGTTAAACTCTACAAAAAAAGTGACAAAAGGTGTAAATGAGATAGCTCTAAACCTAAAATCCATCATGGTTTGGAAAGTAGCATACTATTTGCATCAAATTTGTCCACAATTATAAAGAAAAAGGTAACGGTAAAGTTTAATCATTTAACAGATGCGAGAATTTCGCTTCATAGCTTGTCGACCAATAAGGAAATCATGATACGCGGTAGTCAACCCCTTTAGTCCCAATCCACATTCAAAATTCTCTAAACTAATCTCCGTAAAGCTGAAAAGTTACAAGTAGCAAATTTCAAAATTTATCATTTGTTAATTTGTGCAGATTTTTGATCCAAAATTCAAGACTTTTCCCAGTTTTTTTCCAAAACAATATATTTTTTTTCCACGCTCAAGGTTATCAAATAGGTGATCAATAGAACGCAAACGCAGGAACAAAGGAACAAAGCTTTTTCCATAACGTGCAGGCAAGATTGAAAAAGATTTGAACAACACGAAAAAAATTCACTTTTGAAGCAGTTGTTGTAGCTTTAAAAAATAATCATGACTTTTTCCAAGACTTTAGCTCTATTTTCCAGACTTTTTCCCAGGTACGGAAAATTACCAGGAAAATTTCACGACTTTTTCGAAATTGTACAGACCTCTTCACAGAGAAAAAAAACAAACAAACAAAAGCAAAAACAAAAAAACAGTGGCGTTTCTCCCTTACGGTTTGCCGTCATGGTGGCTTCTGATGGAGTTTTGTAAGGCTTCCCCATAGTGTCAACCCCAACAACTTCCACAGAATAATTTGTTGAATAAGTGAGTCCTTTGATTTCCGTGGTTAATTGATCCCCATCGACAACCTGATGCAATGTGACAGTGTTATTTCTTCTGTTTAAGAACACAACGTAATGACGAACTTTACGGTTGAGAACGTTGGTAAGGTTTGTCCACCGAATCAATATGCTTGAGAAGGTGATGTTCTCCACTGTTAAATTCCAATCAAAAAGCATTTGAGCTAAATATCAAAAAAGACATGCATTAATAAATATACAGTAGTCTCTCAAGTGTTTTAACACAAATAGAAATAGAAATTGAAAGAATGAAATAGTAAAACCCTTCATAAGAAGTGGTCTCGACGAAACAAAACTACTTCCCGATGGATTAGTCTCAAAAGCGATTTGTTATATGGCTGAAAATTCATTAAACTTCGCTGTAATGGCGGTCGTCGGTCAACATCCGAGGGTAACTGACGTCATATAGATTTTGCAATGTTCTTGCTCATAGATTTTAGCGCGAAACAGTTTTATTGTTGGATGACATGTGACCTCGAAGTAACCAATGAGAGAACACGCCGTTGGGAACAATTTCCAGCTAATAACAATGACTAATAGCGGAGCTCTGGCGCACAAAGCGCGCCTGCGGAGCACCATGGGTAAGTAAATCTACCCATCCCAGAAAATTTGGTAATCACGTGACCGTGCACCGCCCGCCCGCTGCCCGCCCGTCCGTCCGCACCACAGGGCAACCAATGCTCAATTTCACACTTTGTAGCTAGTTTGGAAGCACAGGAAGACTGATATTGCACACATATTGCACATCAATGTTGTGATCAATTGACAGCTGTCAAAACAGGGTATCCGCTGACCAGCATCACCTGACCGTATCGTGGGCTCAGGTCTCGACCCATCGAGGTCAAGTATCTTTTTGAAGTTATCCGCTGACAAGTTACTAGTTTTCAAATGATTGCAGGCTCAAGTTTAATTTTTTTAAATTTATATGCAATATGTTGTGTTTTATATGTGCCGCACAATTAAAATTTCATTTCAAACTGACCTAAGAAGCTAAAATTCAGCCAGTTTTTACAGACAGGGAAGACATGCCAGTTGCTATTGACTTTCTCACCAAGGTCACGAGTTGGTCGCGCTCTACGTCCAATTTTTATGCTCTGATTGGTCAAAACTTGACAGGAGAGTTCATGCGGAAAATTTATGCAGCATCTTGAAACTTGTTTACTTTGACAGCTGAAGCCGACAAAGTTTAATTTTGTGTCAACTTGTGATGTTTTTAAGTGTCTTTTTCCACCGAATGTACAAAATGAAATTCAGCTGCTATCAAGAGTCTTCTGTTATTCATGGCTAGTTTGTTTATTGGTTTTTTGGTAGAGAAATACGTCGCTAGTCAAAGTCGGAAATCCGATTTCGGATGATATCGTTTTCTTTTTTCACCTTGCTTGATGCATAAGAGGTTTGAAAAGTCTGAAGCGATTGTAGCCTTACTTAATAGTTTGCAGTGCATCTCAAATGGTAGGCCTGAGTAATTATTTTATTTGATGTTTCTTTTTTATTTCTAATTTAATGAAGTCGAGCGTAGTTCGTAGTCAGTTTGTTTTCAGTAGCTCATGAACATCGCTTGCACGACTTATCAAAATGCCATGCATATCAAACGCTTTTGAAGATTACATATCGTTATAAAACCTTTAGATAAAAAATAAACATAATAAATTATTTATCATGTTGAGGCGTATAACTATTAATCTTAATTTAAACAGTCGACTTTGGCGGTTGTCAAAAGTGAGAACCGGCCACCCGTATAGGTGATTTTGGAAATTTTTTTAACGGTTTCGCTGAAAGCCCACGCGTGCTTCCATCATCCTGAATATTGAATGAGTGCAATTTATATTGAAAAATTGTGAAAT